GTCCAGGCTAGAAAGCTGGAAGAACACAGTCCTGGAGTACTGGTATTATTTTACTGAGCAGCAGCTGGTTTCAGGGCTTTCCACGTTTGATTCTTTTGAGCAGAATTAAGCGAACGGGTGTTTTCAATGCGAATAGTTTATTTCTGTAGTATGTGTGAGTCCTGCCTGTGCAAACAAAGCAGAGGCAAGTTAGGTATATATGTCACCATTCAGACACCTCAGACAACTTACTACTTTTTGTTCCAACCACCACATGTTTTAGGGCCTTGTCTTTGTAAATTCTGTGCCTCTTTGCTGTTGTTAGAATCTGCACCATGTATGTGTTCTGAGTTGAAATTTGGCCACCTTCTCTATGACTTGGAAAAGTTACCTCTAAAAATGAAAGCTTCTATTACTCTAATCACTAGAGGTGCTGAAATGCACTCACTTTCTGGTGTGGGTACAGAGGTGACTCCTTAGCTAGAGACAAGATATGCTCAGTATGGAAAAGGGCAAATGAGGTTAAAGATCAATATTTTTTACATTGCATTTGATGTTTTGTTATATCAAATACCTCAAGTTGCACTTTACGAAAACTAATTTATATGTCAATGCCATTGCTCTGCTGCAATATTTTGATAGCTGTGGGACTTTTGAAATGAGAACTGGGGAGGCAACCGTTACTGCTAAAGCAAAATGAAGGTAATTATATTATTAGGAAGCCATGTAATATGCAAGAAGAAATCTGTGTAAGTGTAGTGGACTGACCCTGGCTGGACATCAGGCACCCACCAGAGCGTCCCTGTCACTCACCTCTGCAACTGGATTGGGGAGAGAAAACACAACTAAAGGTTTGTGGATTAAGATATGGTCCAGCAGAGACATCACTCACCAAATACCATCATGGGCAAAACATGTACAAAACATATACATTTGGCCCAGTCTTCTTATTCACCATTCCTTGAAACAGTTCCACATGTGTCTGTGACACCTCTGATGAACAAGGTGGTCAGGAGTGGCCATGGAGTGTAGCAGGACTCTGAGTGTGTGGCAGAAGAATTATATATAGATGGATTAGAGAGGTTAGGTTGCATAATTCTGATCTGCATGGTATTCACATCTTAAAATCCATAATAGGATCAGTGGAGGTTAAGTAATGCAATCCAGATTAGTCAGTCACTTCAGAATTTAAGTGACCAATTCATGGCTCTAAGTCCTAAATATGAAAGTTTGGAACTCTGCCTCCACAAAACACCATGATCTTATGTTTGTATATGGATGCTAATGATACATTTACAAAAAATGAAAGTCAGATGGATATTCTGCTCTTTTGAGGAAAATTATTAGAGGTTATTTGGGAATTTCTTCTGCAGTAGCTTTCATTCACAATCCTAGTGTGAGATAAAACACTGGGTGGTCATTACACACATCTTAATAAGGATTTAGCTAAACCAAGCTGATTAAATCTATGTTAGTATATCAGCAAAGTCAGATTTTGTTAAGTTCTAGGATTCTAAGGAATCCTGTTACTGCACATGGGATAAAAAAATTATTTGTTCTACTTGATGCTACTGGCTCAAAAAATGTTTTCTGGCAAGATTCAAAACAATTTTAGAGTTAAATCCTTATCAATTCTAATATGTTTGAGATGTATCTAACTCATCAGAATATCAAAGTTTCATCAATTATTCCAGTTTATGATTTGCAATAACCCAAAACTATCAGGACAGAAATTACTGCTACATGTTGGAAAGATGGAGACCCAGGTGGGAGGATGTGGAACACATCTTGTGATGTTGATGCGGCACATGTGGTTGATATGCACAGCAGTTGCAGTGGTGATCTGTGGTATCAGTTCAGGAAATTTATTCCATTCTTTTGGAGCGTGCTCACAGGGTGCTTTGGGATTAGTATATGTTTGATTTTGGTGATATATGACATGCTTTAAGGTAAGGCTGGTTAGGACAGCATTGCTACTGAAACAACTGCACCTTCGTCCTACTCTGTTCCCTTCCCCATTTGGCACCTTAGGTGGCCCAAATAGCTGTGTGTTGGGCAATGTACTTCACTGGGATGTTCACTTAGATTAAAACTAGCGTGGGAAAACCACCCTGATTAGTCTTTCAGTGTTTCCAGCTAACCATGTGACTAGACAAACACTCACACTCGCCCAAGAATGGATAACGTGGAGAGGGGAGCAAGAAGATGGTGAAATGCAAAACTGCTTTTTAGGGAGGTAATGGTGAGGTGTGCACCCTAAAGTGTGTCTTGGTACAAAATTTGGATAAATGCAAGGAAGAAAACAGACTATTTAAGTACATTAAAAAGACTGCAATCTCATTTGTTCACAAATGGTTATGCTAAGAAGTAATTTTTCCGTGAAGAACATGCTAAAATCTTACTTAGAATATTGTTCTTAATTTAATATAAGCTTTCATGTGTTTCTCTTTTTTTCTGCTTTTTGACTTGTTATGATCAATAGTCACCTAGAAAATCAGTTCTCAGGATCCTCCAAAGGGAAAGCCCCAAATATATTCAGAAATACAGTGGTACTTGCTGGCCAGCAGTTGGGGACAGATTAATTGCAGTCATTTCAGGCCATATGAAAGAGAAATAGGAGACACATTTCTATACCATAAGCAGAGATGCCCTGTCTAGGGGAATCTGTGGCCTAATGCACTGAACACAGAATCACCCATCAGCAGTCCTGGTTCTCCTCCCAGCCCTGCAACCCTCTTTTGTGCAGTCTTCGGCAATTCGTTTAGAATATTTCCAGGGTGTGGTGTGATGGAACAAGAGCTTGCAATGCAGGTGAAGAGATTGCAGCTGAGATGCTGTGGTCAGTTTTATGCAGACTTTAAATTTATTTCAGGGCACAGATGGGCAAGTTTCAACTTACCACTGCAGGGAGTTCAAGCAGACCTTTTTTTTTTTTTTTTTCAGTAAAATGATCAAGGAGCATTTGCACAAACGTTTAATATGTTCAGTCATGAGGAAGTAGGTTCCTACATCACTTGACTTCCATGGGAGGATAATTCTTATTCCACCCTGATTTCTCTCACTTCTAGAAATGAGAATGGAAATATCCACTCTATTTTTAAGGGTCCCTCAGATATGCAAACAGATGCATAACTCTCTCAAGCTCTTCTGGTCTGATAGAAGCAGAAAGAAATCAAGAATGGATAAGCAAGGTCTGAATGGAGTGTTAACTCATGTGCAAGTGGATGTTGTGCAAGGCTTTGTTTTAGAAAATAGACTGCACAGTGACAGGATAGCAAAGGAGGAACTTGCCTTGTACCACTTCAGGTGCTCAGTTACTCCAGTATCTTCTTCCATGCTTATTTTTGCAATTTCATCAAAATAATTTAGTTTAAAAGAATGTTAAACCCAGAGACTTTCTGCACTGTACTTGTTTATTTTCCTACAAATGGTCTTGTGCTGCAAACCAATGTGATGACTACTCTATGTGCCCTTATTTCTGGAAGCCACATAGAGTTGTACTAAATTAACTTATGACATGATTGTGCTATCAAACACATTCAATTAAATCATTATACATGCATGCTGCCTCTTGGAGAAAAGCTTTAACTTGGAAAAGTATAGCAAAAATCTGAAACACCAATACAAACTTATTTAAAAACCAAAAATCAAGTATATATTATTTTTTTGGTATGTATACTGCATGTTTCCATTCCTACTTGTTACTGCAAGTTTCCATTCTTACTTCTTTACTATGGAGCAAATTCATCCTTTTATTTTAGAAAATAAATCTGTATTTAATCTAGAGTAGTGGAGATTACGAATATTATTTTAGAATTGTAGTCTGCTTCAAGTCTGGGCTATTTTAAATTCAATTTGCCTAAGAATTTTTTTTTTCCAAGAAGGACTTGAAGTCCTATTGCTCACTTCCCCAATTCAAGCTCATCCCTAAAAATTCACCCTAAAAATTGTGGCCAGCCTAAAATTCACTGTTTCTAGTTATCAGCACTGGAATGTGTATTTCTGGTTTAGTGACTAGCTTAGACCAGACACTTGCCTTTTAGATGGCCATACAAACTCTACTTAAGAGTACTTTCTATATTGTAAAAGATGATCAGTCTGGCAAATTGGTATAATACTCTAGGGTCTCTCAGATTCTCAATTGGTCTGATGTCTCTCAGCTGAGAAATAAAACAAGGTCTTGATTAGCAGTGTTTATTAAAAGCCCTGTGGCACTTTTTGCTCAAGCTGACTATAGATGGGTAATCACATCGAAGGTTACATAATGAAGATAAACATTTCACGGCATTATAAACTCTCCTGCTGTGAAGCACAAGCCACCCACCAACTGCCTGATTTTAGGAAGAGCCCTCTCTATTACATAAGTGTTCAGTATGGGGGTTTCTTGCACCTGCCTCTGAAGCATCTGGTACTTGTCACCTTCAAAAACAGGATTCAAGACTAGATGGACAACTAATCTGAGCCAATCTGGCAATTTTTATGTAAGCAAAGGCTCTTTGTGACAAGGGGACATGTCATAATTCTCACTGATGTATGTGCTGAGTTCCCAGGGCTATTTAAAATGTGTATTGTGTGTTCTTCCTTAAAAGTTCATTTTTAGGCTACTTGATACAAGGTAATATTATAGGAATCGCTGTACAAATGTGCGAGTGGGACTGTGTTCATATGTGTGATTGTGGGTGACTTTAAAGTACATTTCTGTTCATGAAGAAGCAATGAATTGCTAGCAGAGAAAGTGGGAGTACTATTACATAAGTTGGAGCTATTCAGGATATCTTTAACTCATTCTCATATGCTTGTGCGTTTTTCTTCTCCTTGCAGAAAGTGCAGAACAGGTGTAACCATTTAACATTGTCTGTATCTCACCCTAGATTCAACTCCTCCCTACAGTGTTAGCGTGGATTCCTGATTGCTCTCACAAGCAGATCACACAAATGTTACCAAATGCCTGTGAAAGAATTTACACAATAAATTTGTACCAAGGGACTTTATTATTTACAAAAAGAAAAATTTTAGATACCTTTTACTGAAGTAACATTTTTTATTTCAAAGCAATCTGCAAAATACGAATAGGAAACATTATTTATCAAGATGTATTGGGTTCTGGGATGGCACATGATCATAATAAAATCAACTAATTTTCTGCCTAGGCCATATTTAAATCTCACTGATGTTTCTCGGAGTTAAGCTCATGTTAATGACATTCTTGACCTCTTTGCAGCTTCAAGATATTGTAACTTGCTGCCTGTATTAAAACGTGTCTAAGAATTTCCTAAACAGTAGTCTTGTAGTGCACAGCAACACTGGCAACACTGAAACATTTTATTGTGGGGCATTAACAAAACTGTATCTAATTGAAACATAATACTCTTAAAAAAATGGCAACATTAGATGCTGTATACATGTTCCTTAGTAATGTGATTTAATATTTTAAAGATCAGTTTAATCTGAAACTCTCCAGCCAATAGACTTCTTGAAAAGCTCTCCGAACGTTTTCATCCATTGCTGTGGATTCCAAATGTATTGGCTCTTTGTCTTTTTCCCGGTTGCACTGATTGCAACTGTCACTGAGTCACACAGCTTGCTTTGGGCCTGCAGCCAAGTTGATTACAACAACAACTTGTGAACCATAAAAAGGTAGTCTTGGATCTCAGAGAGATATAGAGAAACTCTCAGAGAGTTATAGAGAAAAAGGACACACTTGATCCTTCTGAAAAAGACTGGACTCCATAAATACTTTTGCATTGTTCTCTCTACTTTCTCAAAAATAATTTAGTTTTCAATAGTGAAATTAATTCTTTTGAGCCATCACAGTCAGCTGCAAATGGAAAAGATGTTGAAGCTGTCTGTAGTTAGATCTTAAGGCAGTACCTGTTAGTGAACAGATCACAGACACACAAGTTTAGGAACCAATGTGCCAAAAAAATTTATTAGTTCTTTTCAATGAATTTCAGTGTTACATGGGCATGACAGTAAAATGCCTGGTCAACAGCTCTGAAAGAATATTTGACTTATCCAGGGTTTAAGCAATAAAACTAACAAATTTATTTTATAGTAACATTTTATACAATGGATGGTAAACATACCAAGTAGGAAGGAATTAAACTGTTGGCTTTTGGGAAGCCCTGGAAAACACCGTATTTAAAATAATATCACAGCCTTTTTGGTTGGCTGAGTCCTCATCTTACACAGCCCAGCATGGCACACATGAATAATTTGGGCAAAAATAGTTGACTTCCAGGATTTTAATGCATGTATTTTATTTGATTAATTCAGTGGGGTTGCGTATCTAGATAAATGATTAATAGGTTCAGTTACTCTGCTGAAACATCACTTTAATTAAAAATGAAGTTTTTCATAGATAGGTAAAAGAATTCTGTAAAGTAATAAGGACAAAAAAACCCATTAAATTAACTTGCGTGACTCTGCTTACATGAGCATTTATGTTAGATGACTTCTCTTCTGTACTGACCTGTTAATGTTAGAACAAACTGTTGTGTTAGAACACCCAATGTGTTTCTCCTCCGTACTTAGTGGGAATCCAGTCTCTCTCTTCATTCCCTAATTAAGAGAAAACATCGTAATATCCAGCTTAAATCTGTTTGTTCAAGCTATTCAGATTATACCCAAGTGTTTTTATGACAACACTGTCTGCTACCTTAAATAGTTATTTCCCCCCTTGGTATATTTAGTCCATTACGACATCAGTTCCCATATTCTAGATAAACCAGACCACAGTCTTCCGTTTTTTTCTCATAGGCCTGGCTCTCCATTTCCAACACCAGTTGAATAACCCATCTCTGCAACTACTTTAGCTTGAATTCATTCTTCTTGAGCATGGAATTATGCAGAACAGTTCATATGGGTGATTGCCGGGGTCCTACACTAGTGCTACTAATCCTCCCCTATCCCTGATATATCCTGTTAATGTATTTCTCTTTTTCATTGGTTATAACAGATTGGTAGCTCAAATACTTTTGTATCCTGTTGATGTTTACATGTCCTTCTCCTCCTGGGTGTCCTCTGCTAAAAAGCTTCGATTTTACAGTAAAACTTTTGGTCTTAGTTTAAAAATGCTTGGTTTTGGTATTTGAATTTCATTTCTGCTACTCCAGTCCCCAAAGTTACCCAGTTTTTCTGGTGCAGTATCTCCCTTTGTTGCCATTATTTTGCTTTGTTAGTCCATCTCATAAGCACAGCTGTTTTCATGACATCTACATCCATCCAGATGCAAATAGGACTAATCCAAGAGCAGTGCTTTGGGAACTCTACTTGCTGCCTTTTTGCAGCTTGATTATTTCCTTTCAACAACTGATGAGACATCTGCAGTTTATAAGGTGGCATGGAGACCACTGCTCCTGCATATATTTTTAAATGAGATTTGAAGCAGAATTTTATAAACAGAATGAGTAGAGACAGGATAACTGGTTGGTGTTTTGGTTTGGTTTTTTTTTTTCCTTCCAAAGATATTAGAATTATCATTCAAGGCCTTAATGCTGGTTTTGTCCATCAAATTTCCCTCTGCTACCTCAGTCTGCTAACATTTGCAGGCAGTTCAGTAGTTTATATGAGAGCATTTTTAAAACTTCAGAAAAATTAAGTGTAAATAAACAGTATTACTATTTAGATTAAGTATAAAGAAATGTGATCTAATTTTGAAGACTCATTTGATTTAGAATTCTGATTAGAAGGCACCAGAAAACCTTCAGCATGTCTCCCCTTTCATCTAAGGCTGATTAAAAAACTGTGGAAGTAAAACTAAAAGCCTTTGTGAGAAAGAAGGTTGTCAGGTTCATTCAGATCCAGAAATTCAAATGTGTCTTGGAACAGTAAGGCAGAAACCATACTTAGTTTCGGTTTAATCTACAAATCACAGAGCTACATCAGAACTAGCAACAATTTATATAATTCTTTACAGTTTCATTATACAAGGCAAGACATAAAGAGTAACAACCCCTATCTGCTTTCTCTCATTCCTAAGGTTGTAAACTGTTTGAGGTAGGGCTTAAGATTATTCTGTTTCCATAGTGCTTAAAAAAATGGGCTTCTTTTCTTAGTTGCCACTATTGTAAGAACCACCACTTCTGAAGAAGTATGGACAAAAACTGCCCTGTTGTCAAAGAATCATGGATAATAGTAATGCTTTACATATTTCCTCTTAGCCTCCACATTCTGTAAGGATAAAAAAGAATCCCCCACTGTAAATAACGAAGTACATGTATTTGCTGTACAAAGAACAGTGTTCAGTTAATTTAATGACTAAATCCAATTTACAAATATATGAAAAAAAATAGTAAGGTGTTAGAAACTATTTTTAATTCTTTCAGCACATACCAGCTGCAACATATATGATATGACATTCCTACATCTCTGATCTTCCCTGAGAAGGGAATTTTAAACCCTATTCTTGATTTTCTGAGATTGATTAAAATGCTTCAGCACAGCTGAATTGTGCAGGTGTAAATTGTCTGTGTGTGGGAGGAAGAGACAGAATTGCTTCTCTTCAGCCTGATCTGACTTACACTACAGCAAACAGCCTTTTCTCCTTTACGAAATGTGTGGTAGTTAAGAAGCATCCTGCTCCTCTTGTGATCTGGTGTACTGACAAAGTGTTTCCAGTTATTCATTCTAGATGGAAATGCAGACAAGTACAATGAAGAACACATGGCTGAAAATGTGCTCTGGGTTTTTGGTTGAATTCTTCCATTGCTAAATCAATCTTCTAAATGCTTGTGAAGTACCCTCATTTTTAAAATGTCTTTCATACACACACACCCACACACACACCCACTCATTCATGGACACACATTCATGTATAGCCATGCACACATTCACAAGTGTGTGCACAGACACACATACATACAAGTGTGTGCACAAGAACACATATCTTGTGCATGAATCACTATGGGTCAGGTTGGAAGGGACCACAGTGGGTCATCTGGTCCAACATCCATGTCATCCTAATGCACATGGCACAGGATTGTGTCCAGACAGTTCTTGAATATCTCCAGTGAGAAAGACTCCTGTTCCAGTGCTCAGTCACTCACACAGTAAAGAAGTTCTTCCTCACAATCAAATGGAACTTCCATCAGTTTCTGCCCACTGCCTCCTGTCCTATTCCTTGACAGCACTGAGAAGAATCTGGTCCTGTCCTCTTGACCGCCTCCCTTCAGACAAGGTTGCTTCTCAGTTGTCTCTTCTTGAAGCAGCCTATCCTCAGAAGAGGATGTTCCAGCTGCTTCTGAAAATTTATATCTCAATTGTTCTTGAAAAATTAAGCAGTTCAAAATTAATAAACATTTTCAGCAATTTTTCTTCCATGACATTATACCTGCCTGGTAGGCTCTGATGCTGCTGTCTATGGTTCTCAAAATCTGGGCTTCATTGCACTGCCATTGAATGAGCATGTAGAGAATAATCCAATGAGGAGTTAAAGTCCAATCGTGTATGCAGACAGGGAGACACCTATTATCTGTCTGTTGCCTGGAATTGGCTAGGGAGACTGGCTTGTGAGTGAGACACCTAGGTCATCAGAGGCCCGAGGATATGTGTTGTGTATTTTTTTCTGCTATGATTAGTCCAAGGTTGTACTGAATCTCTGTGGTAAGAGTATGAATTGATTCTAGGTCTCTTGATTTTATTCTAATATGTTAACTGTACATTATTCTCCTGCTGTTACTAAAAAATGTGTACCTGAAAATGCTGCATATCTGAGATTGCTGGGAACTGTTATTTAGCTTGGCTGGCTATGCATCAATTTAGAACAGTAAGAGTGGGCATGCTAAAAGTGGATTGGTAAAGCATTTGGGGAAATTAAGAATATAAACCTCAAGGGATCATCAAAGAGTGAAACTTTCTTTAAAGTCAATGGAGAAAGCAACTGACTGACAAATATTTTATACGGAAATCCACCTGGTGTGCAAAAGCAAATGTTAATGTAACAGCAAATAACTTCTTTTTCAGTCATTTGACTAGAAACATGCTGTGCTGAGGACACAGACTCCCGGTGAGCTGCAAAAGGCCATCTAGTGAAAAATACTCTTTAAGCATGTTCTTTGGACTCTTGTCTTTTAGATTACCATCAATGAAGTCTTGAGAGACCATCTCTTTTCTGATATACCCTCCTGAATCAGCATGGTAATTACCTCTGTTAAAATAAAAATACCAGCTGAAAAGCACTTCTATAAACACTGTTCAAAACAGATAAAGAAAGTAAGTTTATCTGCAGGAATGAGAAGGAGTCAATCAAAATAGTAATTCAGCACATTTGTCTATTTTTTTCCCCCAATCTTCTGAAACCATCAGAAAAATTTTGCTTCACATTAATAATGATCTGGTAGGATAAATGATTTTTGTTAAAAAATTTTAAATTGCAGGAATAGAAAAAATGGAATAAGATATAGAAATAATCAAGGCCATTTTTCTTGATCTGGTGCTAAATTTCTTACTACTTATAAACTTTCAAAATATTGCTGAATTTTGAGGTGGAGAACTTGATTGAAATATGTAGCAATAAGCTTTTGCTAGCTTTTATTACTTTAGCAGTTATGTAGATCACATTGACTGTAGCAGTTGACCGGGACTTTCAGGCTAGGTCTGTGATCAAATTTCTACCTGGTGTGAGAATGTAAAATTATATTATCGAGAACTAAGCTTATGGCAGCCATATATATATATATATATATATATGACATGCAAATAAATCATATTCTTCTAGATTACAGGAAATAGTGTCTTTGATAGCTGTCAACCCAGCAGTACAAGGGGGTCTCCAAAGGAAAGACACTGTTACTGGCAATATATAGTTTTGCAATAATTTGCTAAGAAACATTCTTTAGATCTCATGATTTAGGTACAAGGCAGTCCTGAGGCAGTCTGACCTTGGAACCAACAACTTTAAGACTTTGAGAATGCAAAAGGAGCTGCCTCTTGCCACAACTAATCATCTGAACATTTCAGCTGCATTCAGCTGGGTTCAGCTAAATCGGGATGTCTGTCCTTTAATCTTTCCACATTGCATTTTCCTTTCTTTAACAGTGTCAATGCTTTTATTTGATTTTCCATTAGAAATAGGGTTTTAATCAATGGCTTTCAAGACTGGGGAGTGGCTGATATTTGCTTTGGGATTACCTCAAACTGTGAGACCATTAGTATCTCCTATGTTGGCCACAAGCATATTTCACTGATCATATATGCTAGCTACTGTATAGTGATTGCTTCTATTAAATGAAACACATAGAAGAAACTTTGCCAGCATCTTAATGAATCTTCTGAAGATCTGAGTCTCCCAGATCTTTCATTTTCAAATCTGCCACTTACATTTCCATAAATTTTTGTCATTCGCTCACAGATAAGGTAATGAAATATGAAGCCCAAGGTTTGGTGCATGCTTTTGCTTTCCAAATAACACAATAACAAGAATCCAAAGATTCTTCAAACACTATAGACCACAGAAAATTTATTATGCAAGTCAAGCTATTTTAAATTTAAATAAAAGTCAGATAAAAAAAAGCACTGTTGTGCAATTATATATAGTTATGTTTCAAAAATTCTCATGGGATTCAGAAACACAGAATAGATGCTGCTCTCAAATTACTCACAGGATTGCTACAGAAGTCATCCTGTTATTCTTAGAAACAGTTCTGAGAACATTTCTTTTGCTGCACCATCACGAATAAATCCTACTTCATCTCAAAACCCACAGAGACTCAGAAGCTCTTTCTGTGCCACCTTCAGATAGATCAGGATA